TCAACAATACTGTTACTCGGACCCAGCATTTTTTTCAGTCAAGGTCTAACCTGCAGTAATCTTAAAGGGCTAATGCTCACCGCGAAGCAGCCTGAAATCGCGCTCCACGGAGCAACCTACTCAAGTGTGTGTACGTTGTTACTTTTTCCCAAGCTGGCCTGATGCACGGTCACAACATCTTCGAAGAAATCAGAGGTACCTGGAACGCCCACCGGCCGGCCTGGCTGCTGTTCCCCTGGCGGGTGTGATTCGCTGGAATCAATCGACACACCCTGACCTTCTCCCGATTTTAACATGGCAACAAGGCTGAAGGCTCAACAGGACATGTGTTCCTTTTCCCGGCCAATTATCCTGGACCTTCAAAGGGGTGTCCAACAGAGATCCACAAGCAGTGTCGGAAATTCCACTGAAGGCCCCTTGGAAGGTGCTGGATGTTGGTTTGGCGAGTGTAGGTGACCTTTTTGCAACAAAGACGTGACATAGACACTACGAGAAGCATTTGGGAAGATGATTTCTTGAGCGACTGGTGGTCTTCCATCTTCTATTTGAGTTGGGTGAGGCTAGGAGTGTAATCGTTGGTCTCTTTCCCAAGGAACTCCAGGCTACCACCTCAGACTGGGCAGATGCAGAGGATGCAGATGTGAATCAAGATGAGTTGCCTGGAATGACCATTGTGTGTTCCGAAGTCTTTTAGTTGGTAGTTGGTATATGATTAATTATGTTTTGCCCACTGCATATCTCCGAACTCCGTTTACTCAACATGTTTGTTGGGGGGGTTGATTTCTGTGTCCTGGTCCTTTTTCGTGGGCCCACTATGTTGTGGGCGATGGCTCCATGGAAATGCCATCTCCGAGGCTCGAGGATTCACCACCGGGACCAGATGATCCTATTGGGCCTGACCCAGCCGAAGAGCATCCGGTTTCTCCGGGTTCTCCCGAAAGCATGGAGGAGCCACCGCCACCAAGTGCAGCAAGAAGCCACCAGGATGGTGCAACAAATGATATTCCTGCACCAGATGCAGATCAGCCAGTTGCTCCAAGTCTGGCAGCAGAGGAAGAGCAATCCTCGCCAGCAAGAACAGAACAGGATCTTGCAAGAGCAGATGATACACATGTGCCAGATGCAGAGCAGCCAGATGCTCCAGCTCAGGAAGCAGTGGAGGAGCCATCATCACCATCGAGAACAGACCATGAGAATGAACGATCAGATAACGGACCTGCGCCAGACACGCAGCATTCGGCCACTCCAAGTCAAGAAAGAATGGAGGAGACATCACCCTCCAGAACAGACCATGAGAATGAAAGACCAGATGATACACCTGTTCCAGACACAGAGCAGCCGGCTGCTTCTAATCCAGAAACAAAGGATGAGCCATCATCTCCGGCAAGAACCGACCATCAGATCCATCACAATGAAAGACCAGAGGATACACCTGTGCCAGCCTCCGCAGCTGCAGAGAGTCCCATTTCTCCAGATCAGGCCTCATCACGGGTCGAGGCACCTGCAGGATCGCGCGACCCCAAGCACGAATCCCCAGGTGAGAAAGCCAAGCAGGATGCATCGCCCAAGGCATCCGAGGTCGCACCGATCTCAGAGCCTGGACAGACTCGAAAGGCCTCCAATGGAAGGAATGGAAGGACCAGGAGTGCACCCAATGGATCCATAAGGCAAGGAGCCTACAAAGCGACCATTGACCTACCACCCAAGTGGTCCATGAGAGGGAAGACGAGCTTTGGATCTCCATTCAAATCATCCAAGCAAGCAGATGAAGGAGGCATGGCTGGTGATAT